GTTGAAAGTAGCAGTGACGTTTAGATAGCAAGATAAGCTGAGTCCATCACTCTTCAGTCTTATTTCAAATTCAGAGTTCTCCTTCTTCTAGCCTTGTCACCATTGAGACAATCTACCCGGCTATTAAAACCCTAGCTAAGGCGGGAGAAAATATTTGTTTGTACCTCTAATAGCTTTGAAATTTAAAATCTTTGATGTTTTCTAATTTCGTGCATTTTGCTGAATGATCCCTTTCTTTTCGTTTATTCATAGCTTCTTTCATATACCACGCACTGTTTAGAAGTTCTTTGACAAATGTTCACGTTTTCTGTAGATTTAAAATCAGATCAGGAGTAACTTCCATACTTTCCATCCTACAATACCTTGAAAAAAATGAACGAAAAGTAAAAACGTCAAAAGACGATGATACATTTGCAAGCTTTTCCCATTAAAGTTTATCAGGAAGAAAAGAGTTAGTAGTTTTTGCCATGTTTAGTATATTAGATTATATGTATCTTTTGTTTGCTGTATCCTCTCAGAACGTGGGCGATCATGGCTTCACAACTTCCAAACCTTTCTGGCACTTAATACGACGTGTCTTTACATCCCGCCCCCTTTCAATGCCCTTTCTGAGATCCATTTGCTCAGGCAGGGTTAGGTTACTCGCTGTTTGACCATGACCCTCTTGACTTGATAATACGTATATTGAAATTATATTGTAACTGCAATACAGTTACAACATAGAAATAAGCAACCAGTACTTATTTTTACACGCTTGTAACTTTATTAGAATAAGTATTACTAATTTACTGTTCACATTGAAAACTATTTAATGAAATACTCACTTGACACTGTGAAAGTATTGTCAATTCTCAGTGTGAATCACTACAATTTATAATAATTTTTATCCTAAAAAGAGAATGCATTTTTTGTTTTGTTTTTGTTTTGCTTCTTTTTTGCTCGGATTATTTACTGGTGATAATGTTTTGCATATGATTTTGATAATTAATAAAATTACCTGAAATGAAAAGAAAATATACTTTTATTACTTTTAATTGATTTATTTGAACCAAGTTTTAAAACTATCAAAATCATTTCCATGCTTCTAAAGACTATGCCGAATTTTGAGCATTTAGTTTTTCTGTTGTTAGCAATAGAAATCTTTTAAATACTTGTTAATTCTATATTTTAATGATTTACATTGGAATGTCCGAATAATTCTTTGGAATGTGCTTGATTTTTTAATGTCCTTAAATTTCCTGTTTTCATGATGTCATTTGATCATGTGACAATTAAAAAAAACAATCATTTTTCTATTTTGCATTCTTACATTTTTGAAAGCTATATTAGAAGATTTTTTGTTGTGTTAGATCTTCTTTCTGAAGTTATTTTTAAAGCATGAGCTCTCATACTGCATGCATGATCTTGCCAAATTTGGCACTTCGCAACTTGATATATCAAGCTGAAACTTGGTATCTCTCAGATTTGACATTCAAGTAATCAATTTTAGGAATCGTTTTACCTTTATTTTAAGTCATGAATTCTTCAAAGTGGAAAAAATGCTTTTAAGGTGCATCTGCTTAATTTTCAGCTGACCGAAGAAACTAAACTAAGAAAAATAAAAAAATGACTGGATTATTTTCATTTGATGTCTTGTGAAGAGCATTACACCATAAAGATTAAAAGCATTAAATATTTTCGTTTCATCACAACAGCAAACCATAAGACGAAAAGCTCAAAGATTTAAAGGCTTTTTGGAAAACATGACACTTAAAGTAGATAAGAGAAAAAAGACTTCAACTCTATTCTAAATGCTGAAAATAAATGACTTTTTCATTTCCAATAATTTTATTGTTAAAAATATGAACAAAACATTTTCAACAGAACATTTTCTTTAGGATGAAAACAATCATTGTAAATGAACCATTCTATTTAAGTAGTTCCAATCATGACAATTCACAATTCACGAACGGAAGATTAACGGACATGATATATTGCCTTGCATGGTCAGAGCAATGAGAAGACTTTACCAGAGGAGATTGAGTAAAAAAAAAAATACTCCACATATTTTCATATCGGTTTTAATACACCTCATAAGCCAGCTTGCATTACTCACTGATTGCGATTGTTTTATTTTTTCTTCGTGATTCCAATTCTATCTCTTGCAAAGCCGGATTCAAACAGCGATTGTTGGGACGATAAGTAGACTGTAAAAACATTATAAACAGAACTCTTTATTTAGGTTAAAACAAACGTTATTAACTAACAGCGAAAGTGGATAATATTTTCATATTGATAACTGTCTTACTAAAAACCATTTAATATTAAAAACTACAAATTATTAATACTTATTCTAACAGTCTTGTGACAGTAATAAATGTAGTTGCTACATAGATACCAATATGTTATAAATGACAGAGAAGAATCAAGGTTCCTAGTGTCTTTATCTAACATATTGTTTGAGTGAGAAAGCGATCAAATGGGAGGTAGTTTCTCTAGATTTTTAATCTTTTTCAAGGCATTGTAGGAGGGAATGTATTGAAGTTACATCTGGTCTGATTATATCTTCGAAATCTACAGAATATCTCAACCCCTGTGAGAAAGTCTTCAATCTAGACATACGATATCAAAGGGCCAATGAATGTCCATATCTGGATGAGAAGCACATTCGGCAGAATACATAAAATTAATTAATATTGGAAAGATTTGTAATTTCGAGACTATTACAGATACAAGCCTAATGTTTTTGATTTTTTTTTTACACTTTTTCAGTATGAAACAATGATATGGGAGCACTGGATGGATTCAATATAGAATAACCATCAAACTTAGTATAAAGAAAACGAAAAATCAGAAAAACGGCAGTTAATTGCTGAAACATCCTTAAGAGTGTATCGAATAATTACAAAAGAGTTAATCTACGAAACTCTAGAGTCGGTGTGTTGAATATAACATCAATCAGCTAAGTAAGAAATTTTATTTGTATTAATCCTATCTCACACTGATGCCAAATCAGTCAGGTTTCGATCCCGACGAGGCAATCGAATGTTTAGCCAGACTGATGAGCTGTGATACAGCGAAACAATCTGTATGTGGATAATAATATATATATATATATATATATATATATATATATATATATATATATATATATATATATAGTACTTAAATTAATTCTTGCTGACTATACTTTATATATATTTCTTAATACACTAATCTGCGTGCGTGTGTCTTTGTGTCTGTGTGTATATAGGTCTTACTACATTGCTTACCTTACAAATATGCTACGGTCCACCACCCTTCCCAGGGATAAAAATTGGGAGTTAGTCGACAGCTCGAATTTGAAAATCTCTTGGCGATTAGATGCTGACTATCAACGTGGCATAAGTGATGTTATATGTCATGAGTTGAGCGACCGCCCGTTTAACTAAAGACTAAAAGGATTAATTCAAGCACAAACAAATATGTAATGACTTCCTCGCTTACAGACTTTAAACGAATTGTTCTCTGCTCTCTGGATCTATGTTGCAACCGGTTTGCGTTCTCCTATAGATATGCATATAAAGCCTAGATTGGATACTTGATCCGTTGTTTCTTGATAGTTTTTTTTTTCCTTTGATTCCTTTATTTCTCAATCGAACTTTGTGTTATTTTTTTAAAAATCATTTCACCCCAAGAAAGGCAATAAAGCCACTAAGATGCAAGAATATGAGAAAAAAACAAAAACAAAACAAAACAAAAACATTATTAAGGAGAAAGGACAATAAATAAACGAGAATTAATAATTGTAGTGATTTTTTTTGAAGATGAATGTTGAAAGCAAGAGGCCGGAAGAGAGTTCAACTAATGAGAAGTCCGAGAGAGTAAACTGTTATTACAGAACTTGTGGTTATGTCCAGCCATTTCAAATGTAAAATGGTGAGACCTTTCGCACTAAAGATTTATTTTGTAAATGTTGTTTTTTGGTTTTATCTTTAGTTACTTCAGATACGATCGTCATTAAATCTGCGAGATTATAAGCTAGGAGATACATTGCTTAAGTTACAATTAATATAAATCGCTTACGTTACAATTAATATACATGTCTTACGCTAGAATTAATAATTAATATCTAAAAAATAATTCTAAATATTTTATTAAACATTTTATGAATATATATCGTCATCGAAAATAAAACAGCGAAAGGAATAACATGTAAATTTTCTAGCAAAAATATTTAGTTTTCAAATTCTAGTGGGACAATGCGTTTTTACATAGACAGTGATTAATCTGTGATGTTTGTGCTAGAATAATCAATTTTCGGCACTTATAAATTAGATACTTGATTGTTTTGAAGGACTGCGACTCGGTATGTATAAACTTTAACTTGAGCTACGTTAATGTATGCGAATTCAATCCCAACAAAGTGATTATCCTATACTCTGGTTCAATAAGAAATCTCTCTCCCTCTGTCTTGTCCCTTAAAGACACAGGTTACATGACGCTTCACAGCTTCCTTTTTTGTTGCTATCAGCAATACTTTATTCCTTTAAGACCCCTCTTTTTCTATATTATTTTTTTAAATACAAGCACAAAGTAGAAGATACTGAATAAAGTTGTTGTAAGTGCTTAAAGGCATCAAGTAAGAAATGCATAGTATGAGGATATGTAGGAGAGATAGAGATTGACGCTATAGGTAGTTATGATCATATTGATAGGGGAAGCATCTTATCGGATTCTGCTCCACAAAATAACAGTTCTTGGGGGAAAAAAGCTACCTGGTTATAACTTCCTCATAAACAAATGGAGCATGAAGAGAAACAGGATGTCGTAGATGTGTAGACTTGGAGGGGTGGGTCTAAGAGGCTCGTCTGAACATTTGCCAGGGTAACATCAGTCTACCACCATTACGTCTTGGCGGTGGAAAATAATACATCACCCACAAGGTTACATAAATGCTTTTGAACTCCGTCAAGGATAGTGAAAATAGGGCAGATCCATTTCAGATATAGCAGCAATACTCCTCTTTCTCGTTTCGGCAGTTGTTTTTCTATCTTCAAACGTTTCAAATATCTTACTGTTTTTCTTTTCTTTCCCTTGTCCTTACACTATTCCTGTGAGGGAGGCTTTTGTTCACAAACTCATTTTTGGCCGGATAGCTGGTTTCTAAACCGGCTACCTCAACCCACGTTTGTGGCGATAAGGAGAGCAGTTAGCAATACACTAGAAAGAGAAAATAAGTCTTCAAAAGGAGAATCAACTCAAAAAGTATACGGCCAGAAAATTTGAGATACAGTGTTGATAAAAATAGTGGAAAATTCGACGGGGAATCAACAATCATAAGGCACTACTTAAACAGAGTGGTCCATTCATAAAAAATAGGTAACATCTTTTTGGGAAACAAATGTTGAAGAATAGACTTCTTTAGACCTCCCTTGGGTTGTCAGAATCGAAAAATATTAATTCGTTATTGATTTAGAAGAGGAGACCCTGTTTATAATATTCGATAGTCTCAAATCGATTCCTGACTTTTACAGCGTCATTGGCCATTGGCGAAATCACTTAGCTGTTATTTACAAATTTCAGGTTTGAAAATGGGTTAACATCATTGATATCTGCATATTTTTAAATACATTTCACCCAAAACAAGGTAGCAAAGCGTCTAAAACACCAGAAGGTTTACTAGGCGTGGAAGAATTAGGTAAAGAAACATTACTAATGAGCGGGAAGAGAAAAGTGTAATCAGGAAGACAGTAGATAGCGATTGACATTGAGTTAACTGGGAATCATGGAGTTTGGAGGAAGTTCCACAAGCGAGAAAAGAAACTCTTAGCATATATATATATATTTTAATTTTCCAAATTTTTTAAACATTTTTTTTCTTTGGGAATTATTTGGAAGCAGATCTGCGAACATTTGAGGTTCATAATTATTTTTCATAAATGAAGAATAAACGACCATATAGTTTTATTAATTTATGCAAATTTTTGTTCCTTAATTAAAAATTAATATATCTGTTTGTTCGTTATTCAAAAGAAATCTTTTTTGTAATTCTCCTAAAAAGGTCCGTATGCAAAACAGCAATGCTCTGTAAAAGTCAAGGATCGAATTGACAATTTATCGATATTATAAACACGACGCCCCTTCTAAATCCATAATAGATCATCATTTTTTTACTTTGATAATTCTCTTTAGGGAGATCTAAAAAAGGCTAATTTACAAAAATTATTTCCTCAAAAGATATTCATTATTTTCTTTTTTTACTAGTAGACCATTCTATTTAAGTAGTTCCAACTTGCATTACTCACTGATTGTTACTGTTTTATTTTTTCTTCGTGATTTCAATTTTAAATCTTGTAAAACTGGTTCCAAACTGCGATAAGCAGATGGTAAAGAAAAACAGACGGACATTTAAGGCTGCATTGAAGCTTTATACAATGCTATTTGACTACTGTGAAGTACGGCCATGTCTTTTATAGTCGAGTAGTTCGAAGGGGAGACAACTATGGTTGCCTTCACCACAATGACATTACTTTTTATATTATGTAGGTTGTTCCGAGTAAAGCGGTTTTCTATTGCTGTTTCCATGGTCGCTAATACTCCTGCGACTCCTGCGACTCCTGTGACTCCTGCTGTTATTTCGTTCTTCACCCTCGATATCCTGTGGATTTCAATATTTAGGTCTTTCTACTCGGAGGTTGTTTTGCAGGTATTTCTTTCGGATTGTATTCCTCTGCCTATGAATATGTATTTATTTTCTGTTCTTCATTATTGATGTCATGCTTCTTGGCTTTCATATCTCAGTCTGTGGAATGGACATGTCCCAGAGGATAGTGAATTTCGTTGTTTTCAGGGATTGTGTTCGGATGATACCGTTTCTCAGTCGGTTTGATTTTGTATCTCCTGCAGATATACCAGCGCACATATAACTTTACCCTGATGTGCTTTTGAGAAAGAGACAGTTAAAATGTATTTCATAAATTAGTACACAACGGGATGTACACTTCTTAGAAAAGAGAAGGAAGTAATTGTGTCTTGCTTAACTGGGAATCATTTCCTAGCTGAGATATCTAAAGTAGCTTCAACGTGATTTCTCCAATATAAGTATTTCACAGGTTTGTGTTGTGTTCCTGTCGAAAGACACTTTTTTTAAAAATTAATACTTTCAATTATCCAGGTTGGTTAAAAAGAGGGCTTGGAAAATCTAACACTCACAGGACATGCTGAAGGTAGGGGAAGCAGACGGGAAGAGTAAGCAACAAACCTAATGTATTTGGGTTGATGGAGAGCAGAGCGAGGACAAATAGCAATAAGAGACAAGAAGTTGTGGAGAGCCATGATCGCCTGCTTCCTGAAAGGAACGGTGCATACAAGAAATATTCTGAATAGTGAATATATTCAAGCGATTACTCATATTAGCATAAACATACTTTTAAACTATTTCGGGCATACGGTTATATCAAGTTCTCGTACGACCATTCGTCAGTACCTAGATAAGAGATCGCTTGTGAATACCAAGTACTATATGAATGTGTGTGTGTGTGTGTGATGTAATTGATAACAGCGCGAAATTGGAAATCGGAGAGCCGAGTTCCAATTCCAGTCGGGTTCGTTATAGTCACTTACACGCAAATCATGATCACGAGACTCGTAAACCATTAGGCTCGTAGGAGCACCACATGTACTGCAGCCGCCGTTGCAGTGGTGTTTCCTGCGAATTATAGCCTAAAGGAGCCCAACACCCTCCAGGTTGCTTTCGAATTCAGAGTTTTTCCTTCTCCTAGACCCAAGGCTATAGGACTAGGCGAGGGAGAAGAGATGGATTCATACCTTTCCCAAGGCTATTAGCAAGTAAAGGAATGTAATGAACTTGACTGGAATTCGAACTCGGGCTCTCTGATTCTTCAATCATTATCAATTACTCTGCCATACCTTCACGCACAAATTCCATTGGGAACGACATGAATCCACGTCTCCACCCCCATATTTCATTTAATTAGCAGGACTTGTACCAGTAAATTATTATTATTTGCAATAAATAAATAAATAAATAAAAATCTTACAGTCTAAAATAATTTTCTGGCTTTAAATAAATAGTAAAAGTTTGATTAGCCGTGAAAAATAAATAAATCGATCAATAAACACAGGTTCTCCTTTCTGTTAGGTTAAATTCCGATTATTATTATTATTATTATTATTATTATCATTATTATTATTATTATTAACAGAGAGAGACAGATTAGTCAGTAGAGAATAATTTTATTTTTCTTCGAAAGAGAAGTTATTTACCTTGTATTTTCATTTTTATTTATATAATTCTGCGTGCGTCCACGTCTTCAGTTTATTTGTTATTTTGTACCTTCTTTTATGGCGGACGGAAGAGCTCTCTCGGCTTTCTCGGACGTAAAGAGACGACCCCAAGTGTTCGCCTTCGCAAATCAATAACATCTCTAATGTTACTACTTCGGAGTCAGAAGCCCCAGGGCCGGAAAGTTCTTTACCATTTATGTTTCATTTTTTCCCCTTTTACAACCCCTCCTTCACTGCCTCCATCAACATTATAAACAGTCATTTCGATCGCGTTGGCACCAATCAGAAAGAAGAAGAAAAAGAAAACCATCAAAATTCTCTGCCAGACAACATCAGTGGCAAATGGCGCGTGTATAAGAGAGTGAGGTGTTTGGCCCGACAGAAAAAAAAAAAAAAGATGAAGAGAAATTTGTTGGAAACAATAGTTACATCGATTGTAAACTTGACAACGTGACTTCAGTATAAGTAATATATATATATATATATATATATATATATATATATATATATATATATATATATATATACTATGTTAATTTTATTATACCAGTCAGTGTTTTCGGTATTAATCAACAGATGTTGGTAAATTTTGCACACACACACACACACACACACACACACACACACACACACACACACACACACACGTGTGTGTGTTTGTTTATATGTGTGTGTGTTTGTGTGTGTGTGCGTGTACAAAATTCAGATATAACTAAATTATAAAGTCTATCAGTGTAGGAATAAGGTAAGTTTTCGCTTTTGTCCTTTTACTTATATTTTCCTATTGGGAGTGAAAGTAGCCCCAGACCCCCAAGGGGAACTCGCGCATACGATCCATCGCTAAAAATACTGAAAAAAAAAAAAAAAGGTCGGTTTCGTGTCCCTCTTCATCAAGTATTTGACTCCTTCGGCTCTCCTTTCATTTTACAAGAGATAGATCAGGACGATTAGGGAGACCTGCTGGCATATAAGGGCAGGAGCTGCACAGTCTTCATTTTCCATTCCCGATTGCATCCAAAGGCGTTTCAGCGTCCTTCGAATTGTTTTTCCACCCTACAACTCTTTTCTCCCAGACAAGTCGTCGCAAGCCACTCGCTGCTCTATCGCTATTGTCAGACGAATTACACTTCTTAGTCCCACCAGGTCTAACCTTTACGATTAAGACCCACTATTTCACACATAGACACTGTAACGAACCACCCTCATTCCTTTTGTATTTTTTTTGGCGAGATGTAAGTTCCACTCGAGTAGGAAGAAGTTCCACGAACCACTGCCTTGTGGTACCAGCACCCAAGAGGTTGCTTCCCTGATCACAACAATATTTTGTGTTCAATTCTAGTGTTAACCGTTATCTTCCACATAAGGTGGGCCTCTTACGCTGTAACCCTCTATCTCGAGTGGCTCTTGGGCTTTGCATAGGGTAAACATTATTGTAAAAAATTCTTTATGCTATATTTCAGGCTACTTTGTAATTCCAACCTTTGAAAACATCTTTTATTTTATTCATCTTTCTGGAAGGCTATCGGTGCCTTTTCAGTCTTCAAAGGAAGTCGCATTTATTTCAATTAAAGTATTTCTGAAAGACCAGAAGAAACGGATAATTTGAAGTTACTCTTGTGTACCAAATACAAGTGTCGCTAGGATTAAATTATTTCCTTCACCATCCGCCCCCACCAACCACCACCACCGCCATTACTGGTAAGGTTCTTATTTGGTACAGCAGTCTTATTCTCCGCGGCTCGATTAATTCGTTTCCCATTTATTTTGAACATCTAGAAACATTCCCGGAGGAACTTTTATTTAAAC